GATTCCTTGGCCGCGCGGCTGCTGGACCTGGAGGGGAGAACAGGGGCAGCCGAGAAAAAAATATTTGGCTGTGAGAAAACAGAGCTGGAGTTCGGGAACCAGCTGGAGAGCAAGTGGGCCGCGCTGGGCACCCTCATCCAGGAGTACGGGCTGCTCCAGCGGCGCCTGGAGAACATGGAGAACCTGCTGAAGAACAGGAACTTCTGGATCCTGCGGCTGCCGCCGGGCAGGAAGGGAGAAGTGCCCAAGGTAACGGTGTCCCGGCTGGCGCGGAGGGGAAGGGGCAGGGCGAGGGGGTCGGTGCGCGCTCCGTGGCTGGGGACGGGCCGAGCCCGGCCGAGTTACCTCTTCGGGACCTAAAAGAAGACCGGCGACGCAAGCGTTGCCTCGTCAAGCTTTCTGGTGTCTCCCTCCGACGGGGTCCGCGTGCGCGGGGAGACGGATTTGAGGAGAACGTAGCAAAAACGATATTTAGGCAGGAGGTTTCCCGTTCTGCTTCACTGAGCTGGGCAGGCCGGTAGTGATTTGTTCTTTCATACCACGATTTGAGTTTGGAAAGGTAATCGAGAAACCGAGAAGATGAGGTAGCGGTATCTGGGGCCGAGGAAGGAGCACGCAAAGCTCTGGGAAGCGGCGGACAGAAGACCAGCTCCGGCTACGTTCGGTTTGGGCTTAGCTGAGCGGAGCAACAAAAGACGTCCGACATGAATATTCATCTCCTATTTGCATTTCATGACTCTTTCACTAAAAGAAAGTTTGCTGATGGGACCGTTTCATACGCTTTAAAATGAACGTCGCTGCTTATCCGGAGAGAGCTAACGCTGTGTTTGTGAGGGGGATGATTGACACCCAGAGCCGAAGATGTCACCGCACCGCAGTCAGGAAGCAGAGCGCGGCGTTTCCTGTCTGAAGAGCTCCCTTCCACCACGGCGCTGCTCTCCCAAGCCAGCCGCGTCCTGGAGTTATCCCCAGAAATTATTATTCGGCAAACGGCCTCGGAAACGGCAGTCTGCTCCTGGACGGTTTGCAAGCAGAGATAGGCTTCGACATGTAAACGATTCGGGGGAATTACGCGCCCGGTTCTGCGGAGAGGAGCTGTTGGTGCGCGTGGGAAACGCTGGAGATGTGCTTTGCTCCAGAACTAGTGACAGTTCAGAGCCCTTCCAGCCTGGGCAGAGCTTCCCCAGAGCGCTGGGGTAACTGAGCCTGGGCTTTTACGTCAGCTCATCGATAGAGATGAGCGTCAGCCCTAGTGCCCGATTTTTATCGCGTTGCACCAACTCCAGACTTGTGCAAGCCCAGTGACCTCTGCGGAGTCGTTCCTGCCGGTGGGACCACCACGGGCACCAGGCCAGCGCCGCTGGAGAAGTCACTGCCTGGGCTCTGCGCCTGCTCCCCGGTCGGGACCAGACGTTTGGTCGAGACCTTTAATCTCTTAGAAACTTGTCCGGGAGTCATTTTCAAATATGAACGCACGCGGACTGATGTCCGTAGAGTAGCAGCTTCTCCTGATGGCGTTAAAACGCGGCTGTCGGCAAGCTGAGCGACAGCCTGGCTGTAGGTGAGAGGGGGCAAATGCCCGACCTGCGGCGGCTGCAGACGGCGGTCGGAGGTAAAGCGCTCCCGACTCCTGGAGGGCCAGGAATTTACCTGAGCGCGTGACGCTTGTGATTGCAGGTGCCGGTGACGTTTGACGACGTGTCCGTCTATTTCAACGACAAGGAGTGGGAGAAGCTGGAGGAGTGGCAGAAGGAGCTCTACAAGAACGTGATGAAGGGGAACTACGAGTCTTTGATCTCCCTGGGTAAATATGGGCTTTCCTCTCTCTGGTTTTAGGAAGGGTCTCGGAAGCTCCTGGCTCAACGCAGTCCTGGGCGTCTTCTAGCTCCTTCTGGAGGAGCAGAACTTAGTGCCTCCGAGAGCCTAATGTCTCATTTCAAATGGAGACTCAAAAATGCAGAAAGATGTTTCTAGTGCTCCTCTGTTGCTTCCTGGCTTTGGACGAGGATGGGCTGTGTAAGGTCCCCCCCCACGAGGGCCAGAGCTCCCAGCGCAGGGCAGAGGCGCTCTCCAGGCAGGGCTGCGGGCAGCCTGGACGAAGCTGGGCTGGAGACCTGCCGAGGCCCCTTCTGCCCTGAGTTACTCCGCGAGAAATGACCAGCTCCCCTAAAGCTCTTGTAAGGGCTTCACTTCACCTTCTGGTACAAGCCCAAGTACCCCTTCAGAGACAACGTTTGCGGGGACTCACAGGAAAGAGAACTGCTGTGACGTGCCCTTAGCTACGGTCCTTTGGGGCAGTGTTTACTGAAGCTGCAGGAGAAAGCTCAGCTATGCTGGGGTCAGAGGTAAAGCACTTTTTTTGTTCAGTAGAAGCAGGACTTTACCTGAGGAGTCCTAAAATCCTGCAAGGAGAATGTGCGGGTTGGTTTTGCTGTTTAAGGGAGTTCCTCCGTGTGTGGGACCTGAGCCCCCGCCTGCAGGAATTGCTTCTGCGCGCCGGGAGCCGGGCCAGCTGCAGCAGGGGCCTTTTCTGCCCGCAAGCTCTTGTGGATGTTCTTGAGTCTCTTCATGTTCCCACCCGACAACGCAGGGGAGAGGTGGAAGATCAGTGCCGGGATGCCCAGTACAGTAATCCCTCCCTCTGTCTCTCAACAGACTATGCAATTTCCAAACCTGGCGTCTTGTCCCAGATTGAGCAAGGAGAAGAATCACGAGTCGGGAACGAGCAGGACTTGGAGGAGAGAGAGATCATTACTGATGCCACCGCAGGTGAGACAACAGGTTAAGACAGGGCCGAAAGGGGAGCCATGCCTTCCTTGCCTTCAGAAGAGCAGAGAGTCTAGTCGCTCTGAGATAGGCAGAGAGGAGCAAGACTAAAATACTTGTTGCTGAGAGCTGTGACCATGGAGATTATCAGGAGGAATCTTAGATACAAGTGAGAAAGGTTTGGCTGATTAATGATTTGACATCCAGGTACGGCTCGACATATAAACCAGGCCAAGCAGAGCCCAGAGAGTTTGGCACTAGGAGCTGACAGCAAGGAAAACATCTGCAATCAGACCACTTCCCTGGGGAGGTAGTGTGCCTAGCCGGAAAGGAGAACCGGTTCCCATCAGGAAAACCTGCCTACCCGAGGGAGTCGCAGCCTTCCCAAAAAATCCTCTCCACCCACTCGTTGTGCGTGTGGTCTCCGGGTGCCTCGTGGTCTCTGGGTTTATCCTTGCAGTATCCCCCTGAGGCAGGAAAGCCGGCTCCCATTCTGCGCACAGGGGCCTGGAGAGCCGGAGGGAGTTGTCCACAGCCAGGGCAGGGCCTGGGGTTGAGACAGTGCGCCGGTGCGACTCCCGCGCTCTGCCGCTCCCCGCGACGGGGAGGCTCCTGTCTGCTGGAGCCGGGGGTTTCTCGGCATCCCGACCCGGCCAGGCACCCGCAGAGCCGAGGTGAGGGGGGGACTGGCGTGAGGTGTCCGAGAAGAGGGAGCACGAGCTCCAGTGCTGGTCTCTGACCCCGGCGTGTGGTCACTAAGACCCGCTGCCCTTGCTCTCGACCACAAGAGCTTTAAGCTGGGGCCAACAGGAGGAGAACATCGGTTGCATGTAGGGCATCGCTGCCTGGGGACCAGGGATGGCTCGGGACCGCTAACCTGGCGGGTGCCGAGTCTCTAAACCCAGGTGGAGCTGGGAAGCTCTGTGCGCGCGGAGCATCGGAGGGAGGTGAGCGGGCGGATCACGGCGGCGGTTCCTGAAGGGGAGGTGGATGACCTGCTGCGGGAGTGGCTAAACACACGAAACACCTCTGCGGTCCCAGCACCTTGGGTTGCACCGTGGGTCCCAGCACCTGAGCCTTAAAGCGTGTGTTGTTGCGAGTGATTTCTTCTGGCTGCGTCCTGGGAATGACGGCAGGCTGGGCTCTCTCCTTGCTGCAGCTGGTATAAGGGTCGTGATCAAAACAGAGGAGCTCCTTCCTGAAGACAGTCCTGAAAACCCGGAGCTGCACGGGATGTCAGGGCAGTCGGAGGGGAGTTTCCAGAGTCCGGATGAAGAGGCAGCCTGCGAGAGTCCGTACGGCTCGGTTTCCCCTCCGAGAGACCTGCCAGGAACCAGCCTGGCTGACCCCTCCGAGTACGGAGCTGACTTCAGTGAGATCCAGAGAGTCATCGTTCACCACGGGAGCTGCACAGGTGAGACGCTCGGCACGGGGGCCACGCGTCGGGGGGACCTGCGGGCCGAGGAGGAGCTGTGCGGTGTGGCAGGCAAAGGCTGGGCAGGGGGAAGCAGCTCAACAGAAGAGGGGAGTTAAATCCCACCGGCACCAGAACTAGAAGCGAAGTGGCTGTAGCCACCTCCAGAGCAGCTGCAGTCACGCTTCAGTCCAGGAGGAGGAGGCAGCACCCGGTGAATGGCGCGTATCCTCTCCCCACGCCTGACTTGCTCCCCAGCGGGGAGCAGTCAGCGGAGGGAGGAAGATCCTGGCGCGGTCCTGTGGGACAGGCAGTGACGTAGTCCTCCACGCATCAGAAAAGCGCTCGCTGCACGCTGTGTGCGGGGCGGGGGGGGCTCTGTCCCAGACGGCGTTTGGTTAGAGCCCCAGTGACCCCCCACTACCAACATCCTAGTGTTGCAGAGGGCTGGGAATGACTTGGTCAAGTGAACCTGCTTCTCCGGTGTTATTCTGCGTAGAGGAGCAGGCTACGTTGCTCGGGCCCGTAGGCGCAGTTGGTGAGAGGCCCTTTGGAAACAGCCTGCCCAGAAAGTGCTTGTTGGGTCAGACAGAGGAGCAAACTTTGCAAAGCTGGCAGGGGCTGCAGGCACCTCCGGCAGGATCCAAACTGAAACCGGTCTTGAGACGTTGGAGAAGGAGCCTGCAGAAATGAGGATGCACTTCACCAGGGACAAGCGCACGTTTCTGCACGTACGAAGGATGATCCACTGCCCAAGCTCGGGGGAGGAGCTGCCGGTTAGGTGGCAGTCCTGAGGGAAAGGGTCTGGGGTTTTCTGGTGAACTGTAGGCTGGACGTGAGTCAACAGTATTATGCCCTTGCAAAAAAGGGCAAACACAGCAGGATATAGAAACAAGTAGCCGCACGATGTGCAGAGTCATCCTTCTGCTCTGCTCAGTGTCGGTCACGCTTTGCCGGAGAAAAGGGCAGTGCTGGGTGCTGCATGTCTGCACGTCTGGGCGCTGCATGCCAGCAGATGCGTGGACCCGTCGGAGAAGATCCAGAGGACAGAGATGGGAATGGCCAGAGGTCTAGGAAGTGCGAGCTGCCGGGAAGGAAGGAGTGAAGCGAGGTTATTTAGGGGAGAGAAGAGAAGATTGTGCCAGGCACCACAGGCATAAAAGTCATCCCGGTCTGGCCTGCTGCAGAATGGGTTTAAAGAGCAGCTGGGGGGTTTTGGGCCACATCCTGGGAAAACTTTCCCAAGGAGAGGGATAAGGAAGCGGTGAAACAGCCCGTCTGCAGCACGTGGGCTCTGTCATTTGGCATTTTAGGATTGCATAATGCAAACATCTGTCGGGAAGGATGGAGTTGGTGGAGGTACGAGCTGGCCTCTGGAGGTCCCCCTCCACTCGGTGTTTCTGCTGCTGTGATCTGCTCACAGGTTTCTGAAAGAAACCAGTCAGAGAGCGAGCGGAGCTCCAGCTGGTTCTTGTCTGAGAGCTTCAGAGGATGCTTTCGCTGAGGTTCGGGCTGGCGCTGCGGCGGGAGGGGGGGAGGAGCCCGAGCGCAGTGACGCCCCGGCGGGCTGCTCCGGCCGTGGCCTCTGCGGTGAGGAGACGCGACGGAGGACCTCTGGAGCAGGTCCTGTTTCCCG